TTCCACAAGAGCACTGAGAACCAGAGATTCAAGCTGTTTTCAACCCATCTTACAAAACAGAAAATGGGCTCAGAGAAATTGAGTGACTTGCTCTACACACTTCAGCTAGGAAAAGATGCATTTGGGACTAGAACCTGGAATTTCAATTCAAGTGATCTTTCTCCTAAATTAGACAAGAAGTTCAAAGACAGGCAAGTGGAATTGGTTCCTGTGAGTTGACAGAGAATCACAGAATATTCCCATCCATGGGAACTCAAAGAGCACACCATCTGACCCACCTAGTAGACAAGTAAGAATGCAGGCTCAGACAAGGAAAACGAAACATTGATCAGGCCATACAACCAATTTCTGGAAGTCCCATAGTTTCCAAATCAACCTCCTATGCTCTTCTCTCTGCCCTCTTTTGAGGCCATCTAGTAGGGCTGAAACTGCAATGCTGCCAACTGACCAAGTTCATCACCTCCTGTGATGTCCCCAGGAATGGTGGGTATGTGGAGACATTAAAAAACAACAGTGTAAGCCACCCACCTTTGCTCCTGCCTTATTTACAGGCTCTACCTATGTAAAGTAAAAACTAAGTGAGAGAGGGAAGAGGCACTGACATCCACAGTGTTAGAAGTTATATCTCATTCAAACGGCACAAGTCCACACGGTGGTAGTTATTAGGCCCATCGAAAAGAAAAGACAGTTTAGGTTTGTGGAGATTAAAATACATGCCCCAGGTCACCCAGGTGGTGACAGATAAGCCACACATGCCCAAGTCCACAGTATATGCAGGCTCATCCCACATCCCTCCTCTCATCACAGATGTGCCCTCATCACCTTTCCCTGTCAGTGAAGGTGAACTGGCATCACTCTCACCAGCCTCATGTCTTGACCCTTCCACTCTCGTGCTTTGTCCAGACTCTTCCAACCTTCTCTTCCCTTCTCCTCTCTGTTTCTCTCCACATTTTGAGCCCACTTGTATTCTTCTCTTCTCTGAAAGGCCTCAGCCATTCATGTCAAACCCCTACTCAGAGTCTACCTCCAGGAACCAAAGATCTCAATTCCTGAGAATTTGATCCTGTGTTTGTTTTTAGTCAATCAGACCTTGAAGACAAATGCCTTCACCTCCTCTGCTCTACAGTGAGAAAGCTCCGGCTCTCATCCCTGCCAGGGAAGTTTTCTTGACTAATACCACTTAGCTGCTCTGAGGCTTCTTTTCCTAAACTCCGTTGCCACCAGATGCAAGGGTATATTGATATATCAGTTGGCTCACTTTTGCATGCACAATGCATGTGTGTATGTTTGCTGGCACCTCAATTGTTCTATAAGCCTTTCAAAACAAGGCTAAGTTCTCTGTGTCTTTGGGTTCCCTCCCCACCTCCTACACGGTCCCTTGCACTCGAGGGATACCCCCAGCAGTGCTAGATGGCAGAATGCCAGAACTCCTGCAACCCAGGGCCTCACATGCACACCAGAACTACCAGCTAGAATGTGGCTGCCAGGTGTGGTGATGTTTTGGAGCTTTCTGAGGGGTGGGACAGAGAAAAATATTGGAGAGATACATGTTATGACAAGCCACCCAGCCATGCAGGACTCCACCAGGAATGTGAGAGAAGGGAATTTCAGGGGAGTGGGGAAAGCTGAAGCCTGGGAGGAGTGAAGGGGAACCACAGACAATGGGGAGGCGGGGTGAGGTGTTGAAAGCTGACAGCCCGCAGAGGAGGCACCGAGGCTTCTTATGCAGGACGGAGAGGTGCAGACCAACAGGCAGCCCCATTTAGGACAGACAGAAAAGAAGGTGGCCCCCAGGAGTCACTCGCTGGTAGTATTGGAGCCAAGTAGAGGCCACAAAGGATGAAGCCAAAGACGAGTGTGTGGGAGAGAGAACTGGAGGGTGTCTCACTCTGTGCCATGGAGTTAGACGAACCTGGGTCCCACTCCTGACTGCATATTTCGAACTGAGTGACCTCAGGCAGATCACTGACCTTCTCTGGGGCTAGTTTCCTCCTCTGTAGAATTGGGACTATAGCTACCTTCCAAGGAAGCTATAGTATAATTGATGATAGAGAAGAGGAAAGATTGTCTCTCCCCCTCACATTTGGAAGGACCCAAGAACTGGTATGATAATCAGAAAAAAAAAAAAAAACTTTGGAACTAGCCCTTACTTTATTGGAAACAGTGAAAAAGCTAGGAAAAGAAATTCAAGCTCTTGAAATAAGGCCATCCTGTGAGAAAAAGCTCTTTGGGGCCATGAAGTCATAGGGAAGCAAGGGGCCATGGCGAAGGAGGAGAGATTCTGGGCACACCTGAAAAAAGAGGGAGGCAGGACTAGATGCAAAGAACCTGTCCTCTGACTGGGTGAGGATGAGCCCCAGGGACCAAGCAGACTGGGACAGGTGTGGAAGTCAGCTGCTCACTTGGAGTCCCCCAGAACCCCTTCCAGGATTGGGATTAGATATTTTGAAACTGACCCTTCATCCTGGAGAACCCCCAACATCCAAGTCTCCAGCTCAACCCTGCAACAGAGCATTTATCAACCTGAAGACATCCAGTTTCCTGGACTGATCGGAAAGCTGGTAACACCAGGGCAGCAAGTCCAACAAAATAATGGAAGTTACACTGAGTTCAAAGAGGGACTGTGAAGAATGCAGCTCTTAACTTGGAAGAGACGTACTGGGCCAGAAGGCTGGCTAATTGAGGGTGAGACGACATTCTCAATTTTTTTTCTCAGACAAGAACTTTCCCAGCCCTGCGATGCACACCCTGTCCAAGGTCAGATGGAGTTAGGATTTTATTGAACCGGTTGTTGCTCCTCCTGTTCACTGTCCTGAGATATAAATCTCAGATGAGAAGCTGGTAGAATTAAATTTAGATTTCCAGAGTGCCCCACCCTCCTGTAGTTTCTCAGAGGGAGGAGCAGCTGGCAGAGTTTGCCAGGAACTTTCTCCACTCTGGGTGCTGCTGTACTCCCTCCTGCCAGACCCTCTGTGTGATGAATGAATGGGCCCGCTTACTCTCCTCCTGAGCATCTGCCTTGTGGAAGCAGCACTGATCAGGGGCAGGGATGGAGTGCTCCACAGTTCCTGGAAAGACCACAGAGCCCCAACGTGTGTTCTCCTCAGCCCCCTTCAGAGGACAGTGAGAATTATATGAGCTGATACATGTGGGAGAATTTTATATATGATCATAGAATTGCTTGCTGTCTTCGTAGGGGAAGCTGGAGGTAAGAGGCATTCGTTCCTGAGGGAATCTGTCTTTGTCTCTAGTAGGTTTCTTGCTTCTACAAGGAAGTCTCCTCTGGATCTGTCTCTAGTAGGATTCTTGCTTCTAGAAGGAAGCCTCCTCTGGAGTCTTTATGTGCTAGCCTCCATTGCTTGGGTCCCCAGAGCAACTCGCTTTTGTCCAGAACAGCAAGTTTGGAACTTCTCCTTTAGACTCCGATGTCCCTTCCTTGACTAACTCCTCTCCCCTCTGGCCCTTGTTTTTATGTCCCTGCCCCATGGGATCACTACTCCAATGTTTCTAGGATTCCAATACATGTTCTCTTTATCTGCCCCCTAGTCTTCCATGATGAAATGGTCAAGTCTTCTGAAGAGAAAAGGCAGAGTCATGTTTTCTTGGACTATCCCAATTCTTCCCAGAAAAAGATGGGAAAGACGACCTCTGGTTGGCCTTGCCTATGTGTTTTTTCTCAGAGCTGACCTAGATTCCATTAGAAAATCAAACGTTCATGCATCATCCCAGGAATAATCAAACCCACGCCCTATAATAGGTTTGGTGGTGCCAGAACACTTCAATTTATTTTATGATCCTGGCTAGCGCTCATGGCCTCCCCATGACTTTCTCCTTTCCCAGTATCTGAACTTCTTCCCATATAACACGGAGAGCAGAATTTCTTTTTTCTCCACCTCAATTCCATCACATGAACTCACAAAGACAGAAAATGCCCACATACCATATCTTCACCCCTCCTTCACTCTCTCCCTCAACCTCCTGCCAAATGATTAGCCAACCCTGCTTGAAACTTGATAACTCCCCAGAGTAGCCTCTCCCATGTCAGGATCAATAGAAAGGTGCTTTTATTGTGCCAAATATGCTGCAGTCCTGTCCATCTGAGTCATCAGCTGGGTCTCCCCATCCCCCACTCCGTCTCTATGGAAGTTCCTCAGTCTTTGCAGTTAACTCTCCCATCTCCCCCAAAGACTTCTTCCCTCCAGAGCCTCACCTGCTCCTCCCGTGGCTTGGTTTCTGAGTCCTACTACCCTGTCCTGGTCACTCCCCTCTGAAGAAGCTTCTATGGGAGAGAGAATCTTCAAAAGTTCATGAAATATGAGTATTACGATAATAATCTGAAAACAATGATAAAAAGCTACTTGATGATGATGATATGGATAGTAATGTCTTTGTCTTGACTGATCTGCACATTAATCATGCTGGAAAAAGAAATGGAATACACTGCAAAGATATATGTGATTCAATGTAATATTAAAAAAGATTATGATAATAAATAAAATTAAATTTTAAAAAGTTCATGGATTTCAAAAACTATTTTTGCACCAAAATTAATTCATACTTTCATTCCAATTTTCTATGAAGTTTCTGAAGTCCCTTCATATTTTCTGCTATCCTTGGAGCTCAAAGCCCCCACAGTGTCCTGACGGCAGGAGAGCCTGCACTCGCTCTAGATGCCCCTTTCTTCCTGGTCCCCATGGCTATCTCCAGCAGCCACCGCACCCTATTGACTCATGTGTTCTCACTGTCAGCCGAACAGTCAATCATTTTTGTGCCTGCTGCTATCTAGCCACGCCTTCTCTTCTTAGTTCTTGTGCCTCTAGACTTTGGACAAAGTGCAGGGCATTGCATCTGTTCCCTCTCTCCTTCCCTTCCCCCTGGGCAGTCCCTCTGCCCACCTTTTCCTTCCCAGCTTGTCCCCTAACAAGCCTGGGGTAAATATTCTCAGAAGGAATGCAGGGATGTGCCTGAAAAGCCAATGTCTTATCAATATGGGCTGTGGTTGTATTTGAATGAAGCCCACATCCAAAGCCCAGCTGTATCCCTTCAGGGAGTGAGAAAATAGGTCACATCTTATATGTGACTGCTGTACAAGGACCCAGAAGTCCTGCAGAGGGTGAGCTGAGGTCTTGATTCGCTCCATTCTTGAATATCTGCATCTGTGTTTCCCTTGAGGTACCAGTTAAAGACATCCTTACCTGTGACCCCCCAGTCAGTTCATGGGCCTCAGCCCCTTGTCCCCCAATTCAGTTTCTCCTGCCCAGCTGCTCCCTCTCGCTTGTCCTCTCTCTTATCTTGAGTCTCTAAGAAAATTCTCCTGTCTGGAGAGCCCCTTCCTCACCTCTCTGCCCACCCTTCTCTTCCAAAGCCCTGTTCTACTTTCAGTCCTCTAGGGCTCTGTTGGGATCAAACTTCCCTTCCCCAGCACTGGAACCCGTGGCCCTGTTGTGACGAGTCTGTCCATGTCCTCAGCTGAGCTAGGCCTTACTTCCACCCTCAATCTGGAAGGTCCACAGAGGCACACACTCTGATTTCTCCTCCCTCTAAACAGTCCCTCCCCATAATATGTCATTTGAACTGCGAGCACCTCAACGTTCAGAGCATATGTACTCAGGGTTGCATTCCCAGTGCCTAGGCCACAGCCTGCCACACACTAGGAGCTCAAGACATTCCCACTGAATGGATGCTGTCAGGAACTTCAGACTCACAAGTCACTTCATGGGCCAGTAGGATGACATCTGTAAGGGTCTTCAAGATCGTGTATTATTTGTGCATGAATGTGAAAGTGATACATGTTAACGTCCCAAATAAGAATAATTCAGAGGTCTGACGAAATGCAAGAAGAAATAATGCAACTCCTGGCCAAATAACAGTTTGAGAACACAGAAAATTTTATTGTAGAAACACCAGAAATGCCAAGCCCTTCAAGGTACAACTTTCAACCAAAAAATGATGAAGTCGCAATTGCTTCTAGGGAGCCACACAGAGCCCACCTGAGGCCCCTCAAGAGGGTCATGGTCCTGGAGGCTGTGTGAGGATGCAATGAGCAAGCAAGGGTCTCCAGACCTCAGAAACAAAGCCTCTCTCAAAGCCCATTACTTGGCTGTACTTCTCCTTCCTGGCCCACTCGGCACATCTCAGGTATCTTATATAAGACCCCAAATTAAGAGTCAAATTCTCAAAGGTGCTCAGAGCCCCTGAGAACAGAAGGTATGTAAAAGGGACGTATGAGGTCTGGGAATGAGCATTGAACTGCCTTGCAATCAAACAGGTAACTTCCAGGCTGACTCAGGATTAGAACCTTCCCAGGGCCCAGGTTGGATCCTCAGACTGCTCTAGTCTGGGCACCCAGATGGAGAGAAACCAGGCTGCCTGTGCCCAACTAGATGGGCAATTCTCAGAGGGCCGTTGAGGAGCAGAGCAAAGGAAGGATCAGGCTTCCAAAGAATGGAGGAGCAGAGCAGCAGGGGCAGACAGAAGCAGAACACGACTGCCTGTCCACCTGCTCCTCCATCCACTGCTCCCTTGGGACAAGACCCGGGGGCCCACTGAACTATCCCACCAGGGCTGTTCCCCCAGCAGATGATGCTTCTCCAGACAGATTCCCAATCAGGGAAGGTGTGGCTTACACATCTGACATGGGCAGCAAATCTGTACTCTCCACCAGCATGAGAGTGTGAGGCTGCAGACCAAGACGCAGGAACTGGCCCCTGGCACAGAGGCTCCCCTGACCCAGCTTTCTTGCCCTACAATCTGCTACTTGTCCAAAGAGATCATTCTGTGGGCCCCTGGGGAATGGATTGTTGATCACAGAGCAGCCCAGGTACAGGAGAGGGAACCTGGGGGTCAAGACATTAATTCTCTAATATCTGCTTGGTAGCCACTCTACAAGCTTTTTTCTTCTTTCTTTTGTTATTTTTTTTTTCCTTTTTTTCTCCATCTAAATTAGGCCACTGGGTGTTCCCGGGACCGCAGGGCCAGAGGAGTGGACTGAGTGAGAATGAGCCTGACAGTAACTTTGACTGCAAGCCGTGTCCTCCAAGAGGTCTGCTGTGTGGGCTTGTCCCAACCTAGAGTGGAATTTATTAGCAAAGCTGCTGAGACTCATCAGAAAAAAGTCGTGACAGGAACTCAAGAGAGGGTGGATCAGTAGTGACAATGGAGGGAAGGAGACTGGAGAGAGCTGCAGGCTTTTCCAGCGTGCGAGATGCAGCGAGGAGTCGCGAACTCTGCCCCTACTCCATGATTCGCTTGTGGGAGGTGTTGGTAGAAGTTTGAATGATCTGAACGCGCGAGGAGCCACCACCGCTTCTGCCGCCGAACTTGCTGCTGCCTGTGCTGCCTCCTCCGTAGCTCCCGCTGCTGCCGCTTCCGTAAGCTGCCACCGCCGCCGCCGCTGCCCCCGCGGGAGCTGCCGCCTCCGCCATAGTAACCTCCAGAGCCTAGACTGCCACTGCCTCCACCACCGCTGACGGTCACCTGGCTGTTTTGCACAGCTGTGAGGAAGAAGGCAGCGCACTCCCGGTCAAAACGACTGAACCAGGGGACCTAAGGGACCCACCCCTGCACCCGCAGCCTCCTAGGTCCTTAATGGCTGGGGAGCCTCTGGCTTGCAAACAGACACATTGGGATTTAAAAGTTTTCCAGCTTAAAAAGTATCCATGTCACTGGGACTAGCAGTTAGCGTAACGGCTATGTCACTGGACTCCCACACAGTCGACTTCAGTTCGCGTCCGGGACCCGGTGGCTTAAAACTCACACTGGGCGCATGTGCATGCGTGTTCAAGATCGTGAGAAGAGAATGGAAGAGAAAGGATTGTGGCGTGGCCATCACCCCTGGGGGGTGAATTCTCACTTTCTGTCTGTTTGTCTGGTGAGCACACGCACCCTATAGTAAAAACCTCTAAAAAAAAGAAAAAGTATCCATGTCACAAAGGAATGCTGAGCTCTTTTAGGTAGCACATTTTCATGGCTTTCTGAATATGTACCTTAAAGACGGCCAGCTACTGCTGATACAATGAAGGTAAGCAAACCTGAAATCATGGTTTATTGTACAGGACAGGAGACTAAAATGCCAGGCTGCCAGGTCCCTGCTGGTCACTGGCAACCCTCCCAGTCCTCCCTCTGCCCAGCACCAACCACCCCCTGTCCTCATCTGGTACTTACAGATGCTCACGTGGCTCTGCAGCTCTCCCGACATCCTGTAAACCCAAAGACACACATGAGCCAGACCCGGAAAGCCTGAGGAGCAGGGGCAGCTGCCTGGGGGCACCAGGAGCGGAGAAGTCAGAGTCCCCAAGCCTTAGGGAAGTGTGCGTGTGTAGACGGAGGTCAGCATTTTCATGAAGCCTTCTCGCATTGGGGTCTTTACGTGGCTTGGGTCGGGGTGGGCTTGGAGATGGGAGAGTGATAACTGACTTTTCCCTACCCTGACAACCTCTCACATCCTCTGCTTCTGCCTTGACTGCTTCTGCTCACCCTGGCTACCTATCTTCGAGAAAAGCTGGGTTATTTTCTCTCTGAATCTTCTGCCCTACCGCTTCATGGGTACGTCCTGAGCTTTGGCCCAGAAACAGCTGCCAGACCCACCTGCTCTCTTCACCCTCCAGCAGTGTGCGGTAGGTGGCGATTTCCACGTCCAGGGCCAGCTTGGCCACCAGCAATGCCTGGTAGTCACGCAGCAGCCGGGCCAGCTCCTCCTTGGACTGCTGCAGGGCCTCCTCCATGCCCTGCAGCTTCTGCTGAGCATCCTGGAGGGCCCGCTCTCCTCTCTCCTCTGCATCCGAAATGGCCGAATCCATCTGGTCCCTCTGCCCGGGGACAGTTGGAGAACCAAGATGAGGGATTGATTTTAGGAGCCTAATCTGTCAGGGCTCTGTGGGAGGCGACGTGCCTGGGATCTGGTCAGCTCCCCCTGAGCACTCATCCCACCTGCTTCTTCAAGTTGTCGATCTCTGCCTGCAGCCTCTGGATGATGCGGTTGAGCTCAGTAATCTCCATCTTGCTGTTCCTCAGGTCTTCTCCATGTCTCCCTGCTGTGATCTGCAGTTCCTGATACTAAGAGGCAAGGCAGCATCATGGTCAGCACCTGCCGCTCACTATGAGCCCCTGGGGGAGTGGGGGTCATGGGATGCTTCCCCAGCAAGTTCCTAGAGTAAGCCCGTCTAGAACTATGACTGCCCAGCCCCTAAATGCTAGGTCATCACAAAGTTCATGGAAAACGCTAGTATGAAAAAGCTATGTATGAATTTCAAAGTGTTTTGCTCCAACATAAGCACATACTTTCATTTCATTTTCCCATGAACTTTTTGAAATACACACTCACATCTATATTAAACTTCCCTCACCTGAGCTACAAACACATGCCTGCACACACACACACACACACACACACACACACACATGCACAGCTATGCCAAGCCTCTCTCCTCATTTCCACCAGTCTCTGGGTGGGCTCACTTCCCAGTCAGACAAACCTGCTTCTTAATGTCCTTTCCACTTCAATTTTCACATATCTGAGCCTTAACACTGGGACCCTTTCCTCTTCTCATCCCTCCATATTCCTTTCTACCCTCTTCCAGGACGGCTTCCCCAGCAATCAGGACCTCATGTCTTCAGAGGCCCTCACCATGACCCATGTCCATTTCTACTTGCCTCCCTGCAGTGTCTACACTGCCCGCCGGACCCACAGGACATGGTTCTGAAAGGGCTGGGGGAATTGAACTTAAAGGCATCTCTGCATTCCCACATCTCCACCACTACTACCTGCTGCCCCAGTCCAATGCTGAGATCACTTTGCCCAGAACAACTCTCTGCAGGATAATGGGACAGAGAGCTGCCAGGATGGGACTTGGCCACGAATGGCCATGAAGCAGATTATCACATGCCAGTTGTTCAGAAGTTAGCAACTGGGCTGTCAGACTTTGTCCCTTCAGTTACAGTCTTCACATCCAAAATGGTCCAGGTCAATTTAGGGTAAAGAAGTAACCAAAGATGGACTCGAAGACTTAGCTATGAAGTTGTTCATCTAGTAAGAGAAAGTATAGTCTTATAGGAAAAGATGTTAAAGATGATGCAGAGTATTTACTGTTACTGAAAGGCATTCGTAAGTGATAAGTAAAAGAAAAAGGTATAAAACTATATTTTGGTTTTAGAGGGATTTTTGCTTCAGGACATGTACACTCACTGGAGAGACAGAAAGTGAGAAATCACCCCCCAGGGGAGATGGCCACTGCAGCCCCTTCTCCTCCATTCTCCTCTTTGGATCTTGGGCACGCATACACAAGCACTCAGTGTGAGTTTTAAGTCTCCGGGTCAAGGATTCGAACCACGATCAACTACGTGGGAGTCCAGCAACATAACCATTACTCCATCGTCTAGTCCCTAAAACTATATCTTAACCGGTGCCATTACCAGAAAAATAAAGAAAGAAGAAGAATAGGAAACATTTTGGAGGTTAAGGGCATCAGTTTGTAAGACGACACACCTGAACCTGATTAAGCCCTGGCTCTGTCATTTTCCAACTTCAAGACCTTATAGAAATTAGCTCAGGCTCTATTATCTGTAAAATGGAAAACATGAAGCCCTGACCTCACTGGTTGCTGTAAGGATTAAATAAACATAAAGCAGTTGCTGAGTTTCCCGCACCCGTGGGCTCGTCAGTCACGTTACTACAAGGAGCCGGGAGGGAATAGACCAGCGTGTACTGCGGTAGTGAGACGCCTTCCTCTGCTCCTGACTTCTAAAATCGCTGTAACAGCCATGGTTCACTTCGAAAATAAGAGAAAGACAAACCCGTTCTGGAAAGTAGCTGCTGGGAGTGCCAAGGCCGGCAGCAGGCTCACCTTGGTCTGGTACAGCGCCTCGGCCTCGGCCTTGCTCTTCTGTGCAATCAGCTCGTACTTGGTTTGCACCTCGTCGATGATGCTGTCCAGGTCCAGGGAGCGGTTATTGTCCATGGACAGGATGACGTTGGTGTCATTGATGTGGGTCTGCATCTGGGACAGCTCCTGCAAGGCATGGAGCACAGGCTGACTCCTTCCACCCCTCTCTCAGAGCCTCAGTTTCCCTCTACTCCCGCGAGGCTCTCTGGGAAGCCAGAAGTTCTGGGCTGGGTGGGGGAATTCTTAGAATTGTTGTGTGCCATAAGAGGTAATGGGGTGAGTCCTAACTGCCTGAACTAAAGGCAATGGGGCCTGGGCTTAGCCTCCAGAGAGACAGAGGGCATCTGAACTTGGAGCCTTGTGGACACCCCCCAGCTTGGCCACCAGCAATGCCTGGTAGTCACGCAGCAGCCGGGCCAGCTCCTCCTTGGACTGCTGCAGGGCCTCCTCCATGCCCTGCAGCTTCTGCTGAGCATCCTGGAGGGCCCGCTCTCCTCTCTCCTCTGCATCCGAAATGGCCGAATCCATCTGGTCCCTCTGCCCGGGGACAGTTGGAGAACCAAGATGAGGGATTGATTTTAGGAGCCTAATCTGTCAGGGCTCTGTGGGAGGCGACGTGCCTGGGATCTGGTCAGCTCCCCCTGAGCACTCATCCCACCTGCTTCTTCAAGTTGTCGATCTCTGCCTGCAGCCTCTGGATGATGCGGTTGAGCTCAGTAATCTCCATCTTGCTGTTCCTCAGGTCTTCTCCATGTCTCCCTGCTGTGATCTGCAGTTCCTGATACTAAGAGGCAAGGCAGCATCATGGTCAGCACCTGCCGCTCACTATGAGCCCCTGGGGGAGTGGGGGTCATGGGATGCTTCCCCAGCAAGTTCCTAGAGTAAGCCCGTCTAGAACTATGACTGCCCAGCCCCTAAATGCTAGGTCATCACAAAGTTCATGGAAAACGCTAGTATGAAAAAGCTATGTATGAATTTCAAAGTGTTTTGCTCCAACATAAGCACATACTTTCATTTCATTTTCCCATGAACTTTTTGAAATACACACTCACATCTATATTAAACTTCCCTCACCTGAGCTACAAACACATGCCTGCACACACACACACACACACACACACACACACACATGCACAGCTATGCCAAGCCTCTCTCCTCATTTCCACCAGTCTCTGGGTGGGCTCACTTCCCAGTCAGACAAACCTGCTTCTTAATGTCCTTTCCACTTCAATTTTCACATATCTGAGCCTTAACACTGGGACCCTTTCCTCTTCTCATCCCTCCATATTCCTTTCTACCCTCTTCCAGGACGGCTTCCCCAGCAATCAGGACCTCATGTCTTCAGAGGCCCTCACCATGACCCATGTCCATTTCTACTTGCCTCCCTGCAGTGTCTACACTGCCCGCCGGACCCACAGGACATGGTTCTGAAAGGGCTGGGGGAATTGAACTTAAAGGCATCTCTGCATTCCCACATCTCCACCACTACTACCTGCTGCCCCAGTCCAATGCTGAGATCACTTTGCCCAGAACAACTCTCTGCAGGATAATGGGACAGAGAGCTGCCAGGATGGGACTTGGCCACGAATGGCCATGAAGCAGATTATCACATGCCAGTTGTTCAGAAGTTAGCAACTGGGCTGTCAGACTTTGTCCCTTCAGTTACAGTCTTCACATCCAAAATGGTCCAGGTCAATTTAGGGTAAAGAAGTAACCAAAGATGGACTCGAAGACTTAGCTATGAAGTTGTTCATCTAGTAAGAGAAAGTATAGTCTTATAGGAAAAGATGTTAAAGATGATGCAGAGTATTTACTGTTACTGAAAGGCATTCGTAAGTGATAAGTAAAAGAAAAAGGTATAAAACTATATTTTGGTTTTAGAGGGATTTTTGCTTCAGGACATGTACACTCACTGGAGAGACAGAAAGTGAGAAATCACCCCCCAGGGGAGATGGCCACTGCAGCCCCTTCTCCTCCATTCTCCTCTTTGGATCTTGGGCACGCATACACAAGCACTCAGTGTGAGTTTTAAGTCTCCGGGTCAAGGATTCAAACCACGATCAACTACGTGGGAGTCCAGCAACATAACCATTACTCCATCGTCTAGTCCCTAAAACTATATCTTAACCGGTGCCATTACCAGAAAAATAAAGAAAGAAGAAGAATAGGAAACATTTTGGAGGTTAAGGGCATCAGTTTGTAAGACGACACACCTGAACCTGATTAAGCCCTGGCTCTGTCATTTTCCAACTTCAAGACCTTATAGAAATTAGCTCAGGCTCTATTATCTGTAAAATGGAAAACATGAAGCCCTGACCTCACTGGTTGCTGTAAGGATTAAATAAACATAAAGCAGTTGCTGAGTTTCCCGCACCCGTGGGCTCGTCAGTCACGTTACTACAAGGAGCCGGGAGGGAATAGACCAGCGTGTACTGCGGTAGTGAGACGCCTTCCTCTGCTCCTGACTTCTAAAATCGCTGTAACAGCCATGGTTCACTTCGAAAATAAGAGAAAGACAAACCCGTTCTGGAAAGTAGCTGCTGGGAGTGCCAAGGCCGGCAGCAGGCTCACCTTGGTCTGGTACAGCGCCTCGGCCTCGGCCTTGCTCTTCTGTGCAATCAGCTCGTACTTGGTTTGCACCTCGTCGATGATGCTGTCCAGGTCCAGGGAGCGGTTATTGTCCATGGACAGGATGACGTTGGTGTCATTGATGTGGGTCTGCATCTGGGACAGCTCCTGCAAGGCATGGAGCACAGGCTGACTCCTTCCACCCCTCTCTCAGAGCCTCAGTTTCCCTCTACTCCCGCGAGGCTCTCTGGGAAGCCAGAAGTTCTGGGCTGGGTGGGGGAATTCTTAGAATTGTTGTGTGCCATAAGAGGTAATGGGGTGAGTCCTAACTGCCTGAACTAAAGGCAATGGGGCCTGGGCTTAGCCTCCAGAGAGACAGAGGGCATCTGAACTTGGAGCCTTGTGGACACCCCACACACACACCATGCCTCTCCTGTGCTCGCACCATCTTGAGCTGGGCACTCTGACAGCCATACTTGCTCCGTGAAGCCCATGTGCTCTCATAGACAGCAAAAAGGACTCCAGTTGTGGAGCCACTCAGATTCACTGTCAGATCCTGATTACCATGGGCTAGCTGGGTGACCAAGCAAGCAATGGAATCTCTCCGTGCCTCTGTTTTCTCGTCTGTATAATGGAGACATCCAGAATACAGCATCTGGCCCAGAGTCTACCCCCGCTCAAGTGATGCATGGACAGTAGAGGACATGGGTGGAGGAGTGTACATGTTCTCCCTCATCACTGCTGTCTGTTTTTGCTGCCTTTAAAATCCACATCATCATCTCCCATAGAGTTCTCTAACAGCCCTAACAACTCCCCAGAATCAATAAAAATTACTGGTTGGTTTGCCTCTATATGAACTGGTGTTAACCTCATTTTCCAAATAGATAGGGATTTTCCCTGCCCCCATCTCCATTCCTCCACCTACGAATCCTGAGGATAGGGGATTGTGAGGATAGCTGACTTCAGGCCCACGGAGTCAGGGTGACTGGGGAGATCAGTCCCTAGAGCATACTGTTGGGTTTAAAGCTCCCCTTCTTATGCCCATATCCCTTGTGAGGTGTGGGGAAATGAAGATTTCTCGTAGGGGCTGAACTCACCTTGTCAAATAAGTATTTCAGGAAATCCAGCTCCCCATACAGAGTGTCCACCCTGGCCTGTAGTTCGGTTTTGTTCATATAAGCAGCATCCACGTCCTAACGGTAAGCGAAGACAGTTTGACTGCATTGCCCAGGCATTGCCTAGGCATTGCCTACTGCCAGCTCTCTGGGTGTCTGGGCAAGTGGCAAAGCCTTTCTGCTTTGTTTCCTTGCTGGAAATGCCATCACCTCATTCAGCTAAGAGATCCGCAAAACCCTAGCTTTCTGGACCAGGAGAGTAACAGTGATATCCACAGCCTGGTCAGTCACACACAGGGCCCGGGCTCCTCCCTAGCCCGAAGGCCACAGGTAACTGACATGCAAATACTGCCAGTTCACCTCATTTCACTTTCAGGACCGTGGAGAGAAGAGCACTCGAGGACTCCTGGTCCATTACGTCAGTTTCAGGCTTACCCTGCAGTGTCAGGGTTCTCATTTGGACAGCACACACAAACCAGGCCCGAGGTCACCTTGTCCGTGTCACAGAGGATCCAAAGGGATTCCTCACTCTGCTCAGCTGCCTGGGTCCACAGCCCCCCTGGCCCCATGACTCTTCTTTCCCTCACCTTCTTCAGAACGACGAAATCATTCTCACTGCTGGTCCTCCTGTTGATTTCTTCCTCATACCTGTCAGGGAGGTGAGAAGTGGGGACAGGCTGCAGGAGCTGACCCTGACACCCAGAGGTGTCTCCTCAGCAGAAAGTACCAAGGTCCCCAAACCTTTATGGTCCCAGACTCAGAGAGCCCTGTTCATGATGCAGGTTGTCTCCTGCCAGGAGCTGGTGCCCTTACTGAGGAGGTAGAGCAGCTCCCCATTCTTCAATCCAGCACAGGAGACAACAACCCAACGTGGAAACCCAGAGCCCATTTGTCCAAATCCCAAATGTCCATTTTCATTTTGACGGTTGACCTTTGCAATTGTGTCAAACTAAATCAATTTTTCAACTGAGAACATAAAGTGATGACCATTTTTTCTATTTTTTTTTGAGAGGTTTTGTTTTGTTTTGTTTTTTTGCTTTAGGGAGCGTGCATTCACCAGACAGACAGAGAGAGACATAGAGACAGAAAGCAAGAAATCACACCCCAGGGGGGATGGTCACGCCGCAATCCCTTCTCCTCCATTCTTCTCTCGGGATCTTGGACACGCACACACACGCACCCAGCGTGAGTTTTAAGCCACCGGGTCCAGGACGCGAACCGCGGTCGACTACATGGGAGTTCAGTGACATAGCCATTACACTAACTGCTGGTTCCCTCTATTTTTTTTTTTGAAAGAAAAAGATTTTACCTATAATTCTGCCCCCATCACCTCCAATGTGAATTTCATTTTCCCCTTGTTGTCTCACACACACTTGACTCTTCCCTGGCACAAGGCGGTAAGTGTGTCCAGGTGATGTTACAAGAAGCACCTTGCATTCCAGCATGAGGGAGGAAGAGGGGAAGGGAGGAGGCTACATAATTTGAGAGCAGCCACGTCCTGTCACCCCTACCACTATCATTAACCACAACTAGTCTTATCAAGTGCTCAGTATGTGCAGGCACTTGAAGCACTTACTGAGTAGGATTTCATATAAGCCAGCACTTCTCAAAGTGTGGTCCCCAATCCGTCAGCCTCAGCTGCACTTGGTAACATGTTAGAAATGCGAACATTCGGGAACCAGCAGTTAGCATAATGGCTATGTCTCTGGACTCCCACGTAGTCGACCGCGGTTCGTGTCCAGGACCTGGTGGCTTAAAACTCACACCGGGTGCATGTGCGTGTGTGCCCAAGATCCTGAGAGGAGAATGGAGGAGAAGGGATTGCGGCGTGACCATCCCCCCTGGGGGGTGATTTCTCGCTTTCTGTCTCTCTGTCTCT